CGTGCTCTTTCCCTTACTTATTTGGAGTTCAGACAAGTCAGAGTTCCATTTTCATGCCTCTTAACTCACCTAGCTTACATCCAAGACGCTGTCTTATTTCAATGTAATATATGGCAGGCATGAGTCGCACACGACATTTTAATCTTCTTCGTCTTAATTAATTTGATATTAGTATATAGTAAGTTTGTTAATTTTTATAATAAATCTGAATATTATTAAAAGTGTAGAATAATTTTCTTGAAATTTTTCTGGCTCAAAACTACATCGTCCTAGACCTACTTATTTTGTAAAAAATTTCTGTACATTAAGAATTCAAACTCTTAGAAAACTAATTATTAGTTTTTAATAAATTTAATGACATACAATTAAGGATGTCACGTTTTTCAAACTCTTATAAAACTAAATTATTAGTTTTTAATAAATTTAATGACATACAATTAAGGATGTCACGTTTTTAATACAAATTATCTGTTTTCATATGATTTTTTTTTTTTATGGATTTTACGAGTCAATCTTTTGTTAGTCCATAAGTATTTATTTCACTGTGTTTTTCTCTTTCATTTACTATTTTGGTATGTACTTGTTGGTTATTTCTCTTTTACTTTTGTGTTTATAGTATCAAATTTTTTGTTCAATTTATTTTTTGTGTGTTTTCTATAGATGATGAATTGATTGTAATGAAACTTAACAGTGGCTTAAAAAGATATGCATGAGTGGGAAGTTTTATTTTTCTTTTATCAATTTATGATGGGCCGGGGGAGATTTGAGTATTTTTCTCTTCATATATTTTCTCCTTCTATAAAAATTCACCATAAAAATTATTTCACGATTCAATATATTATTCAAATTGGCTATATCTAAATTGTGTTATTTCAATTTCTCAATTTATAGTCCAATTTTTATCCATTCTCATTTTTTTCGTTATTTTCTCACACATGTTTTAGATCTAATAATTCCTTTTGCATAAGAAGGGGCAATTAAAAAACTGAAAAATTATTGCATTTTGATTGTGAAATAGAGTTTTATAGTGTGTTTGGATGAGGAATTTATATAGGGTAATTCATTTATTTGAAGAATTTCAAATTTCTTGAGATGAAATCTTTGTTTGGATGAGGAATTTACAAAGAATTTGAAATCCAAGCATTTGTAAAATTCTTTAAAATAGTAGAATTTCAAATTCTTCCAAAAATGAGAGAATTTGAAATTTCTCATATTTGTTTTTCTTATTTCACCTATATATTTTATCTTATCTCTTCATTCTTTTAAATTATTGGATATTCAAATATATTTTTAAAATTATTAAATATTATCTTATATTATTTTTTAAAATTATTAAATATTATCTAATATTAATTTTTAAAATTATTAAATATTTAAAAATGAATTAATATTTATTTTTATAAAATTTAATTTAAAAATCTCAACATATAAATATATTTTTAAAATCAATTTTATTATGATGGAATCAAATTATCATATTCAACCTAACAATTTAAAATTTAAGAAATTTAAATTGACTCATCCAAACAAAATATTTTAAGAATGATAAAAATTGAAATCAAAGTAATTCAAATACCAAGAATTTAAAATTCCTTAAATTTGTAAAATTCCTCATCCAAACACACTATTAAGCATTTCATTTTAGTGTTGCACAAGATTGAAGAATGAAAAATGAGAAGTTGATAAAAAAATTATATCAAAAAAGATACAAAGGTAACTTTCTTATTATTATTTGTCATTCAATATATGTTGAACATGAATTATAATTATTTATTAGTGTAAAATAGTTAATTATACTAAAAAAATAAAGAAAAAAATTGTTATTATTGAATCGGAAGTGTTGATATATTTCATCAAAGAAATTGAACCTTTTATGAAAAAAAAATAGACAAGATGGATATCATTGGTACTATAATGTTTTATTTGTTTATATAAAAATTGTACATGTTTAAAAGACTTGAGAACCGTCTTAATTTTTTTGATTTTGTATTTTTCTTTTCACATAAATCATATATTTTTGAATTTGTATTTTTTAATTAATAACTTTTTTATCATTAATTAAAGTGGCGTAGTCAAGTTAGGAATTGAAGATTATAGACCAATTACCCTAGCTAACTTTCAATTTAAAGTGATATCTAAATTAAAGTGTTGGTCGACCAACTTGCTATTTTGGCTCCTAAGTTTATTTCTAGACAACAGTGGGATTTTATTAAAGGGCATTAGACCTCTGATTTACTATAAAAAAAAATACAAATTACCGACGAATAATTTTTGACGAATATAAATTTATTAAAAAATTTATATTTTCAACGAATTTTATTGACGGAAAAAAAATTTTATAAGAAAAGTTAAATTATTGACGGATAATTTCTGACGGATACAAATCTGTCAAAAAATTTATATTTTCGATGGATTTTATCGACAGACAATTTTTAACAGATAAAAATCTGTTAAAAAATTTATATTTTCGACGGAAGAAAAATTTTGTAGGAAAATTTATATTATCGATAGATAATTTTTGACAAATACAAATCCGTCAAAAAAATTTATATTTTCGACAGATTTTACCCATGGAAAAAATATTCGTAGGAAAAATTATATTATCGATGAAATATTTTCGATGGATTTATATTTGTCGAAAATGTAAGAATTTTTAATGAAAATTTTCAACAGATGCTTAAATCAAATTTTTTTGACAGAATGTTACTGACGAATAATGATTTGTCAAAAATTCCATGGTTTCTAGCAATTGATTTTTGATGAAATATCCGTCAAAAATGTTATATATATATATATATATATATATATATATATATATATAGAGAGAGAGAGAGAGAGAGAGAGAGAGAGAGAGAGAGAGAGAGAGAGAGAGAGAGAGAGAGAAAGAGAGAGAGAGAGAGAGGGAGGGAGGAGGAGGAGGAATCAAATGACTCAAAGTAATTCTTGGTAAAGTTGCTCCATTTAATAACTTATGGTATACATTGAATTTCATCGATCCAACTATTAAATTAAAAGTTCTTAAATTTTACTAATAATTAATATAGAGAAAAATTGATTAGCTCTGGAATAAATTATTTGCTAAAAATATAGTTAAAAAATTAATTATTTTAAATTTTTTAACTAGAATCTTATTGACAATTTATTATATGATCATGATATTTTTGTATAACTAATATGTGATTTTAAATTTGATATGAAAATATTATGATATAATTAGATAAGATTTTAAATTAGTATTTTATTTATGATTGATAATTAAAAAATAAAACAAGGATAAATGCATTTTTGAATTTTATATCTTAGATTTAAGATAAATAAATATATTAAGTTAATCAATAATTTATTTAAAATGTTAAAATTTAATTTATAAATATGTAATAAATTAATATTTATAATTTTATAAATTATATTATCATTATAAA